TGACGTATCGAAGACATCGCGCAAGTCCGTGATCGTCTAAGACTGAGGTTTCTCTGTTTTATTAGACTGGAACCGAAGACGATTGCCAAGCTGTGTCTCGACTTTATTATCCCTACACCCACGATACCTTTCCTCAGCCTGTTGCATACATAGCGTTCTCAACTTTCTCCTTAAGGAAATTATGTTCCTCCATAAGTCTCACAAGATGGTCCATAATACTATCAAATTGTGTCCAATGGATGCAAATGCTTCTGAGAACATGCGTACTGTACTTTGAGTGACCACTCCCAACTTAGCCGATAGTAAAACAGTTGGGTAAACAGAGTGGGGTGCTATTGGCTTATTTGGCATTGGTCACTCAATATACAATAGCATTTAGGGGCGTTCGTGCCCGTTGTAGATAACCTGATGGAGGAACATGATTTCTCTCTAAGAGGAATATAAAAGCGTTATTGGATGCAATTGACTGAGTAAAGGTATAGAGTATCCTAAGCGATCATGTAAATAGGCTGCATGATGTTACATGCTAAATGACTACGCTTGTTTTGTTGCAGATGTGGGCAATCCCCCTCGCCTCCTGATTAGCATAGTGGCCAGCATTCACTAACAAAGCTGTTTGTTGTGACGCACCAAAAATTTCACTGGTGCGGAAGCATGTGCAACTGAATTATGAAAATCGGCACTCAAATGGTATGTTGCCGGCACACTAGTAAAGCCTTGTGTTTGCTGATTGGTGACTGCGCGGCGTTTGCGAGATGTAGTAACCCACTTCCTTCATATTTGCGCAGGACACCGCACATTTGTGGCCACTGTTATTATTCCTGTTGTTATTCCTTTATCAAGTTTCACCTTTTTGACTTATTGGACTGACGACTTTCGTTTCTTCCTCATCGCAAGACGTGAGAGTTTCCACGCATACCACACACTGACCGTTTTCCTATGTATGTGCATAACATGGTTGACGGTATTTGGTTCTCGATTTGCTTGTCGCTATGGTCTCTATGGGACAGCCACAGTATGCCTGCGCCTACAGAGGGACCATGGGTGGCTTGCACTGCACCACACACCCCATATCCAGTGTAAACCCGAAGGAATAAGACCGGGAGGCATGTGGATGATAGCCACGTTTCATCAACGGAGCCACACCCCACACCTTCAACATGCACAGCAGCAGCATTGTTGTCTAATTGGGCAAGCATGCGTACCAGAAGTACACAAGGCAGTGACCTAGGTGTAATCCACTCCACACTGGATGGAGCCACTGAGCCTAGCATGGCCACGATGACCGTGCATCCTGTCTTACCTCAGCAACGATTCACAGTCTCCTGGAGCCATTAATCGAGGTGGAAGGTGTTAGAAAGGTAGGCACCTTGTCAACATTCACATCAAGCGCAACAGCATCGGTGATATTAAACAACCAACATGGAATTTGAAGGAAAATAATCACGCGAAATTGACACGGAATATGCAGTATTGACAGAACTCAGTATATCAACTAGTGGAATACCTTTTATCCATGTTAAAAAGATTACTTTAAGTGTACGTAGGATGTACACATCAACCTCAACATGATGCACAAGTGGAAAACACACGTTGTTATGATACATTTAGTGGTTCTTGTAGTTCCCAGGATTCCATTTTGCACGATGAACGCTTATGCAACTGGCCAGAACCATTCTGACCAAATACAAATGGGTGTGTGTATGAAGGACAAGGGTCTACAGGATTTTTGTTCTTGTTGTTGTCACTGTCGTTTTCTGCGTTCACCAAGGTGTACCATCATCTTCGGCGTATTACGGGCCCCAGACACCCACCCTCTGTGTAACCGTTGAATGCCACACAGGCAAGTCCAAGTCACCCTGGTGTCACCAATTATGCATGAATGACAGACTCAGTGGTGAGTCAATCCGATAATATAGGCGCCATTTGCTTCGGATACGCCGGACTGCATGGTCGCTCTTAGTTTCGCCCTTTGCAGTGTATGCATGCATCGTCTACCTTGTCACTGATTCCTCTTCATTTGCATTAGACCAAGCGGTGCCTTTTAGAATGTAGTCACCACAACCCAACACATGCAAATTTGGTGACTGTCAGACCATCTGAAATGCGACCTCTGAATCGGCTCTATTTAATCTATCGCTATGCGCCTTACAAGCAGTGAATCTTCCGATTCCCAGTTCTTAATAGGCTGAGAAGTACCTAGCTCCACTCCTTGCGCATCGAGGCAACAATTGTTGGATTATCTGATAGCCAGGACAGCAGGACCGCTTTTCTCGACAATTCGCTGAAAGCAAAAGTGCATCAGTTGTTATGCATCCACTTTGCTTCAGCGTAAACTCACTGAAGTGGAAGCAACGTTTGTTAAGTTAACTATCTAAAAGTATAGTTCGTCATAATACACTACACTGGACAATTACATTAACTAGTCAGCCAATCAGTAATGCAGAGAGACTGTTTTCAGATCCACGATATGTGCAATTAACCAACCTTGTTTCTTTTAGGTATGGATATAGTCTAAAAGGTTTCCTAAACTGAACAGGCGTTAGTTGGAAGTGACAGTAGACATTACGAGAGTGACACGAGGGATTTAATAATGCGCGACTAATATACACCTACTTTAATGAGGGCCACAACTGACCTAACGGGCTCACTTCAATAGGTTGCGTTAGGATGTTGTTGTTTGCTCACCGGTTGATCTCTCTGTGCGCCTTCGGGTTTCGCTTTTGACAATTCGGGCACCAATTATCATTACTCGATACTCACAGCTATCTCTACGAGATGAAAGCAAACAAGCTAGAAACGCGTTGTGGAGTGCGGTGTTTTCAGACGGGAAACACCCAGTATTCCTCTACTTCATCAGTGACGATTCTAGTTATCGAACTGATGATCAAGGTTCAGTTCATTGCGAATTGCGGTACACAGTGAGGTTGCGCATCGCAATCCATTTACGAAACGAGTGCTTCACAATGACCCCACCTTTTTGGATTCACGGTTTGCCCTGACAAATGATGTGCCGATGAAGATACGGCTTCCACTGTTTCGTCCTAAAGACTGGGCGCATATTCTTTCGCCTAAGGTGGATCACCAACACAATCAGACCGGAGGACACGTTTATCATTGTTGGTCAGTTCACGCTCTCTATCTGAGATGTGAAAACCCTCCACCCCATTCCGAAGCGTGACCCTAATGTAGGAGACAGCTTATAGATAGTCCACTCTTTTGAAGTTGTCAGTAGATACCAGCCGGTTTACAGTGATTGTGTTACGATCCCTCCGGTTACACATTTTTCATCCAAATATGTGTTAGCATTATATCTGATCGATCCAGCTCGGTTTTTAGCAAGCGATATCTTATGTAAGCAATAGAAGATGGGCCTCGCTAGAGCAGATGTCATTTATCGACGGCATCTTGACAATACTCCATGGACTTGTCTACTCATCCTGGTGATTTTGACTAACGTGAATCTAGTTGTCTTTCTTCTGACGAATCACCCTAGCTTTGGAATTATTCAGTTATCCATCCTGTATACTCCCATAGTATTGTTAGTGGCGTAAGCTGTCACTGGCTAGCGTCCTTTATCAGCAGTAGCTTCCGAACCATGGTCTAGTGGTATCAACGGACGACTATGGGCGCAATCCACATGGGATTGTGGGCCCGGTTTCTTATGGAACCGAGGGATGAGCACTACTGGCTAGTCCAGGTAGGGCGAAACGGTCGCCCAGTGCTTTCCCGCGCAATGTCTGATTTGGAAGCTACTGCGAATCACATCAAAACTCCCTACTTATGTGTATGTTTGGTATTAGTTTGCAAGCGGCAGTTGTTTCCTAAGCGTTTTCGTTTCGCTTACGTCCCTCTAGTAGCCTTGTTGGAAAGGTGTCTTCATTCTGGGATACTGTGTTCATTATGTAAGTCTATGCGTTGCATCTGATCCTAGTTATGTCGAACTCCTTGTGTCCTCTGACTTGCTCATTTAAATTACGAGGTAGCTAAGAACAGCCGATTGTACAGGCGACAGACTTTGACAGAACAGTTCGGTGACCCTCATTAGGTGTACAGCGATATGGTTATCGCGGTACGCCAACTCTTCTATGGAGGAAGGTCGAATCCTGATTGCCATCACTTTCAGATCGCATTCGAAAGACCTGTCACCAAGTTGGCGTGTCAAGCTTGGCTACACTCAGTATGAACTTTGGTAAAGTGTCTCAGGTTAACTGGCACCACTTCGATTATCGATTCCTGATCAGCAGCTGTGTTTACCGGAATGATAAAGTGCAAATTCGGAACCCTGCACCACTCTACCTATGTTTGGTGTGAACGCTTCCGTAATTTGTCAGCAGCAAGTAACTAACAAGGGGAAATCCCAATCTGTCGGGTTACTGGCAAAATGCTCGCATGCCCACGTATTACGTGCAACATTAGAGTCGCGTCCGCATCCGCTAGGCATCGTTACGGTTCTGGGGTACTGTCACGCAATTTCGCTTACCAGTGACATTCGTTTCGATGGCAGAAGAACTGCGGCTCAAACGCTTACTCTACCCGAGTTTACATCTGTCGAGTTTATGTTCAACGCGGAATGTGTGAGTGACGCTGATGAGCACTTTGCACACCGAACGTCAATAACCATATTTTGTGGAAAAATATTTGAAACAGTAGATTTTGAGCTCCAGTTATGAAACAGGTAATTATTTCATCAACTAATCTCTATCCATGTCTAGCGATCCAAGACTCCATAGTCACCTAAGAATTTACTGTTATTCAGTCATTCCACTTTCGTGTGTTTTCATTTTACAGTATCTGCACCAACGTAGTTTTTTTACTTTAATCTAGCCAGCAGCTGTAAATCGCTACCTAACAGCACCACTTCCTAGCGGATCACCTTCAATACACCTAGTCAGCTAAAAGCTTCCCGTTAGGGGAGACAGCTTCTTTGTTTTCCTCTCCGCTTCTCTGAGAAGATATTACATGAAACAGTTATATGACGACGCACAGCACTGTCTCACCTTCAGCACAAAATCGCCTTCACGTATTCCTGCGTTGTACGCAGGCATGTCCTGCACTATGCGTGTTGCTGTCTGCAAGCTGGGTCTGGAGGTGCTGGGTTGGTAGGTGGCAACCATTTGAGGATCTAGTGGTGAGAAAGACCAAGAAAAGGAGACACAGAATGCACACTGAATCTAGTAAGATTATGATAAGGTTAGGTCATCGTTGTTTAAGTTGCAATTCAAGTGTTTGTTTCACGCAAATTAACATTTCTACTGCATTGTAATCCTATTCATTCGTCTACCAATGTCCACTTTATTGCACTGAGTTGACTAGTTTCGGAAGCTAGAATCTTCTCTACTTTGAGCTAAGGTTCAATACATTTGTCTCAATTCATTTTGAAGTGTTTGCAAATGACTTTAGCAAGACACAGGCAAATGAGACACGGAGACATGTGAGTTAGCCATCTGGATCACTCTTACTTTTGACAGTACGAAGGGAGAGGCCAAATGAAGGTATGGAGCCAGGTGGCACAGAAATTTTATGGAGAATCACTGTGCGCTGTCCAGGACCAGTGGATGCTGATGAAAGGGGCGGTCTGGGTGGGACTAAGGGAGGCATTTGGCCGTTGGTTATGGTTACTTCATTTCCTCGGTTACTGCACTGTGCCTGACCGTTGTACAGCTGCCATTCTCGACTGTCGTAGGAAGACAACGAAGGGCGTATCCCACGAGCCGCGATTTGAGCGAGAGTCAAGTTTGGCTTTTCTAAGCAACGTGATTCATATCGATGTGTTCGCGAGCTGAAAAACGATAGCAATCCAAAATTGAGGTTATTAGGGAGTAAGTGCAACTCATTTGCTTTATCTACTTCGGCACATTTAGTAAGAGATTTAACAACCTGCGCTCTTATATACTTAAGTCCGGTAGCATAACCACTGGCTTTTCATGAGGACTGTTGAAGCGTTACTGCAACCACTTAGATTGATCTACGAACGCGCTTCAAAAATGATAACCGCTTTAAACTTACTTTTGAAGGGAAGGTGGCAGAAAACTCATTCTTTCATGAAATTCCTTACGAAGGTTTGTAGAGTTTTCGACTACACAACGCGGATTGTCTGCGGTGAAAGTTCGTTTACAGGTCTAACTCCATTTCTGGCTTCGGAAGAACACTAGCAACTAACGCGTGCACAATAAGTGGTCAATTAGGCTGGGTCACGAAGCACCTACCGTGTGTCTGAACTACGACACGCAATCTCATTTGGGGTCATGGTTCTCTGTGAATCAAGCCTCCGCCATTTCGATCACTAGAGCCGCATCCGAAGTGGAAATTTTTGGAGCTACTCTCTCCCAACACAACACTCCACGACCAACCGGTTTTCTTTCTAATTTAGACTTGTCAGGCAGAGATAGTCTGAGCCTAAAGCGGAACCCGGCATATAGTGGTCGATGGCTTACGCCTTGCTGCTTAAGCCAGAGCCCAGCGAGCAAACTTTGACACAGAGGTTAGAAGTTTCATTCTTGGGTGTTGGAGTGCCCTCCGAGTGTCTGGGTGACGACACAAAATCTCATTTACGGTTATGGTTTACTTTGCCATTTCGATCCCTGAGACCGTATCCGAAATGGAGAGTTTTGGAGCTGCTCTCACATCACTGCACTCCACGACCGACCGGTTTCGTCCGTGTTTTGATTCCTCGGATAGAGATAGTTTGAGCTGAAGTTGGAATCGGACACATTTTGGTAGACAGCTTGCACTAAGGTGTCGCTTTTGCGTCGAAACTAAGTTCGGTAAGGCGGACGAGCGTCAATGCTGTTGTTCACGTACAAGCATTTCGAGCTCCACACCCGCAGTGCCGAATTAAGCCATATAACCTAGGCTGTCTTTACCAATTCGTCTCTCGGCCTACCCACAGGAATGATAGCTTTCCACTCAAACGATGATGTGAACAGCACGATAGAAGTACAGCTTTAGCTTCTTTTTTCTATTAACAGACCATAGCTTCTACTGGTCACTGAGCACCCATGTTATTGTTAAAATTTACGGTTCCCACTGAACATGCTAAAAAAACATAACAATCTGGGGCCTTCAAGTGATTAATGAGATGCAGTCGGCCTGAATGATCCAGCTTCTCCTCCTTCCTGTCTAAAAGATCAATCCGTCTACACGGAATTGTGCGTGACAAGTGATCCTATATGCAACTTCTACTTATTCAACTAAACAACACCAGTCTCTTTCCTGCCTGTAATTGTGCTACAGTGGAGAAGTGTAAAGAAGTTCATCTGGTCATCTCAGAACACTGATGAAATTCATCCTGGAGGAAGTTATTCACGTCTTATTCACTTACTCTTTGATGCTCAGTTCCGTTCTGTCATCTATCGGTGGTGAAACCTTCTTATCTGCCGACGAGTTGCTGATTCCGCTATCCGTCTGACTTTCCTCTCTCTGTAGCATACCGTTGTGAAGGTCATAGGCAGAGACATCCCTTTTGGCGGGAACTTCTCGACGTTGGAGTCCTGAAAAATGCCGCGGCAGGTCACCGTCTAGTCCACCCTGGTGTAGCCCGTTCCGTGGAAATTGATTTCTTTCATCTATCACACAATTTAACGTAAGATGCGCTAGTGCGTTTTTATCATTGTACAACATAAATCTGCATTTTTTTACATTATTAGCGGATTAAGCGTGGAATAAAATTTATGTACACACCCACAGGAGTGGTTCAGGATGCATACAATGTTTCTGTGGTGCTCCAACAACGATGTAGCATATTGAAAACTGTTTCCCCTTCATTCATCATTGGCAGGAAGAATTGTTGGAATTAAGGGTTCAGCACTACCTTACACCTCAGATCTCGGGGTGATTACGTTTCATGGCTACGCTGCAAGAGGATTAACTGCAGAGCATGGTTGGATCTCACAAGACTGGGTGTGTGATTATTGATTCAAACTCCGAAAGCTCCAGCCGGTATCGGAGCCGTGGAGCTTTGTGTTGTTAACAGTTAATACTTCAACAATATGATTTCGTAACCCGTGCAGAAGTGATGTTGATAATGGGAAGAACCCCCCCCCCCAACAGCACCATCAATTTCACATTCCTGGTAACGGCATCACATTCAGGAGCACTTGAAAACGATTAGGCTATGCTCTTGCCTCATTGCGTAAACAACACATGAACTTTCACCTTATTTGCCGTTAGCACTCTTTTCGGAGCACCTCAATAGACTTAAATCTCCTGCTTTGTGATTTTGCCGTGCCCTCGACTAGCTTTGCGCAATTCGCACACTGGAATGCATGGCGTGTCAAACAGCTCGAATCCCTTCCTGAGGTTTACGTTTCTTCGCCTCGACATCTAGAGGGGTACAGGTGTGGTCGATCTTAAAGGTCACCCATGAAGTGACTGTTTTCCCTGGTCACTTCTACACTGGTGGGCCCGTGATTTCCACCTGACATTTGGCAGAAATAATGGGCGTCCCAGTTACTTGATAAGATGAGGTATGTGTGGGTGGTCTTGTGTACGCCAGTAATGCTCATGCGTAAAGCACAAACGAAACGGTGACGCGATGACAAGCACCCTGTTCAAAGTGACCTGGGCAGACGCCGCAAGCTGTTCGATCTACACAATGGGGACCCGCACAAAACGATGGCTAACCCCAGTGTCAACTAATCCCACCTGCTTTGCCAGCAATCGCTGCCATCTGTCACATTTAACGATGTAGAGAAAATGTTTAGCAATCACCAGCAGACTTCTTTTATTATTCAACTTGACCAGAATTCTAGGGACACTATTATCTGCCGTGAGGTATAACCCCTACGTACATGGGCAAAGAATTTTGATCCAAAAAATTATTGTTTACGTTGTTAGTGATGTGTTATATCTCTCAAAATAGTTAATGAAAGTTTTTAATCGCTGAGCCTCAAGCTAAATGTATGTGTACATTTGTACACAAAATTTGTGAATAATTTTCTATACGTGTACACATATGTACGCCTTGTGTACTAAGAGCATAAACGCAACTCTGAGCTGCTATACAATCACTGTAAAGCATGATGAAAAGCATACTAAGAGACTTACGTTTCATTGAATATTTTTGCACCTGGTACAGCCGTGAACTATGGAGAAAACTCTTACCTATTTGCGATTAAGCTTTCATAACCTACCTGTTAGCACGAGAACGACTGAAAATTACCTACTACGATGGATGTTGATATTTGGACAATAAATGCGCACCTCTTTTTTGCAAATCTAATCGACAGTTCCTTTACAGGCCTACAGCAATCGTCAGCTTCCGATTGGAGCCCGCTAGCTAATTTGGACAGCGTTTCATGACACCCTGGCACCATCTGTCACTAGAGAATTTGCATGTTTAACCATGGGACAATTTAGCGATGGCTCTGATTGTAACTTCTTACTACCTTACTGGGAAATGTTCTCAGGCATCTTTTAGGGCAAGTGCACCCAAATGAATCATCTGATTTCAGGAACATCTGGCAGAGTTACGACACCAGAATAATTTGGTGTATACAGAGGCATTCTAATTACTTTTTTTCATTTCGGTGGTAACTGCTGCATGTTTGGACTATAATACATGATCTTATTTCGTACCGTATCCTCTTCCAAGTTGAAATATATTCGTTGGGAACACTGGGACCATTTTGGCAGTGAACAGTTTTGCGCATTCCTGTATCCCCGCAATGCACTCAGCAATAAATTCCTTCTTCATTTGGACTCCTCGGATGGACGGAACTGAAGTTAGAACTGGGACTCAGCAGTGACCGTAGCTCGTAAATTACAGCAGACGTGTTAGTCTATCTAGTCCGTACTTTATACCTAATGATAGCACCGCAGCCAACCACTACGCGCTCATACGTTTTTCCTATGGAGGCTCGGTGGATTATTGAGTCGTTTATTTGACAAGAACTGTTGTATCCGTGTGTTCAACTCTGAACAGGAATCTCGTCTTCCATTTCTCGTTGTGCACCAAAGAGGACCACAAAGGTATGGGATGCTTGTGTTTTAGACTCGGTACCTACCGTCCCGAAGCAGTGATTAAAAGCGCGTGTAATTGTAGCTATCCACCACTCTGATTGTCCATGATCTGGGATCATGCACGCTCGGTAGCTTTGTTTATGTGAGGTGGTTGCCGCTCTCACATCAAGTGGAGCGCATCGGATTAAATGTCTGCACATCACACCTCGCATAGGTATGATTTCTGTTTCGACAGAAATAGATGCAGTGAAAGGAGGCACTATGATAGACATTGAGCCCCGTTCCACTGGACCTCCTCTATGCACGAAAGCCAGACAACCATTTTAAGCGTTTAGCCCGTTCAGTTGCTTACCTCCTTGCATTAACTCTGGCTGTCTGATTGCCTAGATTAGTTACAATTATTTTAGTAGATAATGTATCATCCAAGCAGTAGCCAACCACAGAGGTAATGACAAACCGGTTCGCGGCTAAAACACACGGGACATAATGATGAGATCTTTCCCCCGTACTGTGCGAACCAGACGTGGCTTCTGCTTAAGTAGAACATCGTGTAACCGTTCGCTCGCTTATCGCCGGAGCCTGCGATACACTGTTCTCACCTTACTCGTAGGATGAGTGGGGAGTGTCCATGTCTGCTGATTAGGGTCTAGTAACAAAATCAATGCTTTTGCCTCGACATCAACCAAGTCGGAACCGACTATCTGTCCGGAGTTATTCTTCCTTGGCAATGAGCCTAAGTCTCCAACCCTAAAATTGGCTGGTTGGCGCGTCAAGGAAACCAGGTAATGTAGTTGTAATCCACCCAAAAATGCTGAATGGATGATAGCTGCACGTACGCATATGGTTTTCTTGTTTGCCGGAGGGTGACAAACCATGTATACTTCTCGTTGCCGTGTGGATAAGCGTTAGCGAGCCACATCGTCTAACCGATTGCAATGCACAAGCCAAAAGCAGGAAATTTGTCGCAGAATTATTTCCTTGTCTATTCTCTACTTAATCAACGGCACCGTCACTCAATGGATGCGTGCCCATCCTTGACTATGATCACTAGCTAGAGAGTGTTTAACAAACCCCTTCTGATATGTGTCGGCTGCCAGCTCAGCTAATCTAACACCGAAAGTAAACAATGCGCGCCAGTATATCATTACCACAGGAGTGGGACACCGTGAACTGTCCGGCAAGTTCGTCACACGGGTCAAGTTTCATTGATTACTGTTAACTCCCAAGGCTATGAATTGCAAACTATGAAGTTCAATATAATTTAAAAGCTTATCGAAGCCAGTCGATTGGGACTGGTGAATCAGGGAGCTAATAAATGAATGCAGCATTATATTCTGGCGCCCAATCAATAGTGACCAGATTAAGTGTCAATGAGCTCGTTGAGGATCAACAATTAGAAGCAATGCGCATTACCGACTGCTGTGTGCCAAACCCCTGTAGTTACTTTTCGAATGGTGCGTCTCTTGCTTTTAAACTTCAGGCTGTTGGTACTCACTTCAAAATGACGATAGTGAGTATGAATGGGCTTTAACCGAAAAACCGGCTCTTAAGTTGCCAGGACCTTAATCTCATTGCTTGATACTGTAGGTCTGTGGTTTGGTGGTTCACGTGTTTGGCCTTCAATAGCTGTGACCCGGATTCAAGTCCCAACAGTATCCAAGCTTCTGTAAACACTCTCCATGATGGATACCGAGACTTTAACCGGATTACTTTCATTGATAGTGAAGCCGCTGTTCAGCGTCAGATATGTAATATGTGGTAGTAAAACTGGACTTACTTAAAGCTTTCACCATACTTTTTGGCCTTCGGGAGAGTGTTGCATTAACCTCAACCAAGGGACTCGTCTCCGGGTCATAAGAGGCCTGGGTTTGCAAAAAGAACGGACTGCATACACCATAGCGGCGGATACCAGGCGACTGAAACAAGGCGTCGTTACCCCATCGTCTTAATTCGATTCCTTCATGATGCTGGTGCAAGTTGCTCATGGACACAGTGCGCTGTACAGTGGCCCCAATAAGGGGCACATCGCTTGTATGCTTAGTACTTCTTGGGTGAGGTGGTGGGTTGTCTGCCTCTGAGGTTCCCATCGAACGGGAGTTGGCCGATTGAACCTCGGAGGCGATTAGCGGAGTGGGCTCGGTGATGTAAGATTTTGGCGGGGGCCTCCTCATCCGACGTCGTGGGTTGAATGTTGGTGTGGGAAGAAATGGAGCGGCTGAAAAACGGCATAAAATCTATTGTTATAGGTTAGCCCAACCTCACTCATGTTTCAGGACTGGTCGGAAAGGTAGCCACAAATGTGCTGTTGCTGATGAAACCGGTTGTTTTACAGCTCAGCAAAGAGACAAAGCATGGGTGAGAATTCATCGAGGTTAGTGAAAACTGCACATGAAGCCAACTGTAGCCTCCTCCTATCCAGACTTGCAGTCTGAAACAACGTGTTTGGTGAGCACTATCCGTTTTCCGAACAGCCATGTTCACTAGTCTTGAAGAAGCACTCAATGACACACCAGAGGCTCATGTTAGTCTACAAAAGCGTGATCAGCGCCAAGTTGTCAAACCAATATTGTACCGACATAACACAAACCAGTTTTCGTTCCACGTTATATTGTCTACACGTCGTACGAATTTACGCAGTACCCGTCTGTAAGCCTCAGTCCATGCGAATGGAATCGCTGGACATCATCAAAATCACCTTGGAATCCGTTGTGACCTAAAGAATATCAACAAACATTGCATGCATGCTGGGTCCCCATATATTTTAGTCTCACTTTTGTGAGTTTATGGTGTCCGTATTTTCGTAGCTTGTTGCTTCGTGCAATATCCAATTAACAATGCTGCAATGCTTAATTTATAGGACGATCTCTCATTCATCAAAAGCCATCGATCGAATATGTGAGAATAAACCGTCTTTTGGTAAAATATCGTAATCTACAACAGTTTTATCAGGGAAAGCATTTTACTCTGATGGATGGTTGACAAGCTAGTGTGTGCAAAATTGGTTATGCTGTGTAATTTGCCAAAGTAACGCAGTCAATACACGAATGGGGAACCACAACGATTGTTTCCCATTTCGGATGCCCCGTCCAGTTTTCGGAAGAGTGCATGGCAAATTCCCTCCAGAGTTTCCATTTGTGCCATAATTGCAAGTCAACATCGAGTTGCTTGTTTTTTTCTGACTAATCAATATACCATTAATAATGAATTACCTCTGAAAACATACCATTAAGCTGATGGCGACTGTTTGGTGGTCTAACAACCGTGACTACACTCATCCGAAATGGCGTCCCGCTGGTTTGAAACGGTTCCACTCTATTTCACAACCTCACTGCGGTTGCTGGGAGCTAGGAGGGATGTTCCCGTTGTCGGTCGCACCAACCAGAGTGATTTGCATACTTGTTTAGAGACGCCATTGGTGCAACTAGATAGGCTATTCTGCAGACGACAAACTTCTGGCCTCTTTGGCTCGTTGTGCACTGGGGGAGATTTCCTGCTTGATTTTACGAGCCCACTTCCGAGTCATTCTTCCTCGATCGAGATACATTTACACAAACCAGTCATTGAAGGACTGACGTGAAACACTAAACGAACAAGTACTAATGGCTCACAGCCACCGTGAATGTGAAATATTCCTAAGTTTCGGAAGAATTCAGTTAACGTGGTCACGTGAGAGCATCGCTAACTTCCGGATTCTGATTCGGAACTTGGTCAAACTCAGGTAATTTGTGAGAGTTTGCTACATTTATATTGTAATGCTTATTTATTAGACGGTCTGCATTCACATTTCATTGTTATTTCACCAACAATGCTACGATAAACACGAATGTGTCGCCTGATTGTATAAGTGACCAGCGTCTACGCTTATCTTTTGTGTAGAAAAGTGCAAAATGAAACCCTTCTGTGTTGTCCTCGGTTATCAGTTCTGGTGACATTCTGTTCCTCCAATGCAACTGCAGTTATCGATGACCATCTACATTGGCTATCCTCATTGGACATGGAGTTTATCCAAATCTCCGACAAATAGCCTGACTGGCTTAGTGGATGTGCCCTGATTTCTTTACCGTAGAAGGTACATTGAAAAGCTTGGATCGGTTGACACGATAAAAGTAGGCAAACACGAGCAGAGGCAACAACCCGTTGCTGAGTCCCATTGGAAACAAAGAGCGATTGTGATCGATCGGTAGTACTTATTGCTGAGGTGCGGCCGGGTTGTTTCTCACCCCCTGGCTAATGTGTAGAATGGATTAATGAATTATTGCTGTGAATATGTGTATGGGCAAGACCGCCGTTGGAAAGGTGGGGAATGTTATAATGGGATTTAACGTTGTGTCGCTTGAATAAGCTATCGAACATATGAAGCATTTCCGTCGCAATCACACATTTAATTTGAATGAATTATGTTCAAATCCTTTTGTGCTAATCTATTAGACGACGAAACCAGAAACTGTGAAGATATTGGGTTTTACTACGAACGGCAAGAACAACAGTAAGAGAACACTCCAACACCTTCATCCACTTCTCTGACTATAAGTTTTCTCAGCAGAAAACTATCAGACCTAACGTTTATTCTCTGCGTTGACAAGTAATAATCATCCTTTCTACGAGTCTAGTATTTGATCAAGTCATCAGAGCACTGTATTCTTTTCATCTCATTCAGAGGATCCATGCTAGAACTAATTGTGCTTACGGCTGGATACATGCAGCAAACCGAACCGATCTACCCCCGTCTTTGTTGCCCTACAGGAGGCAGGTACACGATAGGTAGATAACGGCTTCACAGCAAGGGGGACCGCCAGTGAAATTTTGTCACTGTGATACCATGTTGCACCGCCTATTACCCAACCACTGAGTTTGGTCAATGTAAGAACATCGTTAGAGGGACAAGTTTGGACTACACGTTGTGTGATTGGATTGCGACGTGCAATCTCAATGTAATGGACTGTGGTTCACGTTGAAGTGAACCTTGGTCACGGCGATCACTGGGACCGTACTGAAAGTAGATGGAAATTGGGTGTTGCCCACCCGAAAACACTGCACAGTGTTTTCGGGTGGGCAACACCCAATTTCCATCTGTAAGAACATCGTGTTTTCACGTCACTTGTTGACTTAACTCAGAGAATGCGATCGTACACGTCTTGCATACACGCATCCACTAACTGACACGAATAGCGACGTAGACTATGCTTGGTGCCAAGGAAACGCTACGGGTAGTTAGTGCTATTAGGGCCTGTTTCTCACTTCTTAAGCACGCCTGTGTCAGCGCGACCAGTTACACGCAGTGAGCATCTTGGGCCAAAGGATGGAACATCCCGAATCGTTTTGTTCACAGTGAACATCATTGTAACCTTTGGCTATGCGGTCGTTAAGTGTTCTGTTATCAGAGCACATGGATGGTTCTACTCTCATCATAACCGATTAATTCACTGTATTCCACAAACTTAGGCGATACTAGGTAGTTTGACAGCAGTCGGCGAACGAGAGCAAAGTTCAACGCAATCAACGTACGCACATCTTAAGGTCAGCAAGACCAGCACCTGGAACGAACTGTTAGTGCGAGGAGGGTTGAACTACAAACGCTACCTTCGATCTGAAAATTAGTCTACAAAGCCGACTAAAGTCCGCCTCAGTAGATGAGCAAATGACACTAAATCCATTTACGGAGTCAATAGAGTAGTTCTTACTGTTCGGTGTCTGTAAAGTGAGGGCATTAACGCGATAGAACGGGTGCTTTGTTCCACCGAAGAATTGTTAGTTCGAAGCTCACTGGTTTGTGAATACAGGGAGTCGGGGTAACAGTGCTTATCTATTGCCTATTTTTATTTCAATCGGAGTTTCACAGCTAATGGCACAAGGTCGCAGTTGGTGCAGCCATCCGAACATTTATGGCAAGCCTCCACACTCATCGTGTGAAGAAATTACTAATGTGAAAAGTTGGAGGATCTTATACTCGAGTTTTACGTTGGTTACTTTAGCTGAAATGCTGTTTATTTGGGTGTAAGAGAGACTGAAACTCGTTGCTCATGGCGGTACACAAGGTTTAGTATGCTTTCAAGTGAACGGCCATTGATGGTGAAAAGCATGGACGTAGATTGCAGACGAGTGGTTGAGGAGCTGGTTTCTTCGTTTTGAGCACTGGGTACGAAACGGCAAATTGCTCTATCTATAGCCTGTTGTTAGGGGACGTTACCTATCCACCGGATACTACCGACTGTATGAACACATCTTCAGCAGATAGTGAGGTGGAAAGTCATGCAAAAGGCTCTTGTCAAATCGACTGACTTCACGCTTAAGGAGATTTATGCTATCGGATCTTAGCATGTAGATCCTCGTATCTCAGTCATGTTGGTTGCATGCCACACTACTGGTCCTCATTCGGTGTGGCGATGCGATAATCCCTCCCAATATTGCCGAAAATAGGTATCCGGCTTTTATGCGCTATATTTCATAGTTTTCAAGCAAGCAGCAGGAGGGTTTGAATGGCATAGGTAGCAATTCATTCATCTAGAGTTAGTCAGCCATCACGTCCGGAAAAACACTGTACGGCCGTTTCATCCTTTCTGGAATCGTCAGCAGCGCACGGTCCAGTGGGCCGCGGTGGAGCTTGGAACTGCAATCCGACTGTTATCAGTCCATGTTTAAGGATACTGAGCTACAGGGTACGGTAACGGCCAACATGTCTCACAGTCGAAGGCATAAACCACTTAGTAACAAAGGAAGGCAACGGAAGGTTGAAACACGCCAATCTCAAATTCAGTAAGTAGTAGAGAACAGAAAGTATATCCATTGGCAGCTCCATCACTTCCCGTTCATTGTATGGTTTGTGCGTGACGTCACGGTACAGCATCGCACAAGGGACCACTACGGTTTTAGTGGACGCAGCATGATCGCTTCTTTCCCAGCAAATGTCTAACAATAGTTTGAAAAAGTCCTTTGTGCACGGACAACTTGATTAGTTATATTGTTGCAGTCGTTAATCACATGAGGAAACAAAGCAACATTTGCGTAAAATCGGAGCCTCCTCGATTTAAACAACTTCCAGCGGTGGCCCCATGTCAAGCTATTTGCGCATAGCTGAAAGAGCTACTGCAACCCATTCCCCATCGCACCTCGTAGGCTACGTTGTGTGTCACCATCATCATCATCATTAGACACGTCAGCTAGAGGTCGGAAACACCTCAGCTACTGTGCCGCAATACATAAAGGAAGAGCAAAATA